CACTTCTTTTTATTTTGTACATAAACGACATTTCCTACATACAATATATTCCACATCTGGTGTAGTAAAAGTCTACTTCAACTGAACGTAAAAAATGTACCGCAATAGCATTTAGCTGAAACATCGAAACACCCAAGGGGTAGGTCACTCCGCACACCAATCTTGGGCCATCTTTTTTGTCAGTGTGCCGCAAGTGTGCCGGTCATAGAGCAAGCTGCGATTGTTCGTAAAATATCCATCCAGGCAACCCGGTTCTTCTGACATTTTGAATGTTTTTGTTTGAAATCGCACGGACAAATCGGATTGATGATGAAGTGGCGGGTGTGCGAAATTTTGGTGTTTTGTATTCATAGTGTTAGGAGAGAGAGCAGGGAATCCGTTTGAACTTGTTCTGACTTTCGACAGCTTTATTATCAGTTGCTTCAAAACTAAAATAGGTGTAAAATAATTAATAACTGTAAGTTTTCTCCATAACCTAACTTACGATTTAGTAGCCCAATTACTCAAATATATAATCCACTGCTCACTTCAACTATGCTTTATCGATGAAACTGGGCCTAACCCGACGGGGACGACTCTATCTACGATGCAAAAAAGATTGTGTTGTGTTGTGGCTAGCTGCACGCACGCTGAGTAGATAGAAAGAAGATTGATGATGATTCTTCAGATTTCCTGCAAAAAGATGATGAGCGATGCAAGTAGATGCGACAAATGAAAGAAGATTTTTTGAAAATTCGCTAGTGTGAGATTTTTTTAGCATCTAAACTTGAGATTTAGACTAGGGGTATCCCACTCTAAACTTTAGTACTAGTATACATTAAATACGTTTAAATCTCTCATAGGTATTCTTAAGTATTTTTAAGTATTTTAAACTTGCATAATTTCCATCGTAGTTACCGGTTGCTAGTGTCGTTGGTTGTTGTTGTCAATTTTATAGTTTTCGTCACTTATGAAATGAAATTAATTCCTGTTTTAATCTATTTTAATTGCAATAAAATCATGATAATTGGTAAATGTATTTCAATTACGCTTATCTAATAGTGTAAAAAAAATCGTGTTATTCAAATTACTGATGCTTTAGAGTAGAGAGGTTCTAGAACCTCTCTAGTTTCGAGCAGACTTTCCAGTGCGCTATCATGAATTTGGACTCCTTTACAGAGCTGTTCCATATTCCTAAGAAAATAAGGAACAAGGAATAAGGTATGGAGAAGAAAAAAATTCTTGGCTATACCTATACAAGTCAACGATATCAGGGTTACGCTGCGCACTTCCTGTCGAACTACGACGATGAAACGAACCTTTTACAGTAGGAAATTGTGCTGATTGCATTACGCATTTCGGGTTAGAAAACAGTGTTACTTTAGGCTGGTGAAGTAGTTTAATTGACATTTTGCTGTCGATGTTTTCATTTGAACATAAATTTCCCAGTTTAAGTAATTGGAACCACCAACGACAAGGTGCTGGTGATTGAAGATTTCAAAAACACTAGCATCGCTATCATTCTGATCCGTAGTGGCAAATAGATTATCCCGGTTGAATCGAAGCGGTAGTTAAAAATGAAAGGTACATTGGGGTAAATGAAAAGTGGTGGGACAAGTGGGTAAATGCCCAACACATTACGGAACAAAGGATATTAAAAAAAAAAATGAATCCAGTTTAATAAATATTAGTGGGTAGACAACAATTACCCACTTGCGCCACCAATTTATAACTTATACTGTTCGATCTTTCCTGAACGTGACATGTTAAAGAAGTTGATTGGTTTGTTGTTTTTATTCAAAAGTTTGAATAATCGATACTTATTTATTCACATGTCATGTGTTGAAATAAATTGATTAAATTTAAGTTTTACAATCGTTGCTGTTAGTTAATAGAATCAATGAAAAAATGAATTCTACTTCAACACATAGCTTATCAATCATGTCCAGCTCTAATAATGGTTTAACAGATGAGAATTGACGGTTCCAAATCCGAGAACATGTAGTTCATATTTACAACATGTTTACTATGTGCGCCATAATTCTGCGCATTTCGCCAAAATGTTGCAGTGTTTTACAGTTTTATCTTAATTTATATTTTTACCATGCACAAGCGGCTAATACCTACCATCGTGTTCAATTCAATTTAAATTATATACAATTTCAAATTATTTTTGAAATTTTCAAAACAGGCTCTTTACGGCAGAATAAACACGTTCGGTGGGAAGCTACAAGATGAAACAGATGCCACAAGCTCGGCAACAAGTACAATGCGAATGGTTTGGAAAACCTTAACAATTTCTTGTTCAGATTCGATAGCCCTAAGAGTCTTAAGTTAGTGTTACATGGCCTAATCATAACGGTCGAAAAGTACTTAATCTTATAACGCAACGATCGATAAAACCAAACAAACAACGAAGGGAAAGGTTCCATGATTGTCAATCTGACTTCTTCCTGTAACATGTCGAACGAATCATCCTAAATGCGCATCAACGTGTGACATATTTAATAGTGCAGTATAATGTGAAAATGATGGAATCGGTTTCTACATTGGAGAAATAATCAGCGGCTGTTTTTTCCACCGTTGACAACATTAATTTATAGGTGAATCATTTTTGCAATGATCTTCTCTTATTCCAAGACCATATCTTGATGCCTACAAAACAAAAGAAACATTTAAAATAGCTGTTAAAGCTTAAAATATTCTTACTGCAGTTTTCAAATATTCACACAAAATCCTTGACGATAAATAAACAACTAAAATGTGTTTAGCAACGGTGGTAACAACCTAATGCAAAATATAGGTTAAGTATTTTTAAGTATTTCCAGGTATCTTAGGTATTTGTAAAAGATTTCTGAGTATAACGCGAGAAATATAAAGTTTAGAGTGGGATGCCAATAGGATTTAGATGTGCCGCCCCCCTCGACCTAACCACATTCAGGTAGTGAGTAATCTTATTGCGTTAATATCTAACTCAACTTTACCTACAAAAATAAAAAATCTCCGAGAAATAATCTTACGATCGTTCGGCTTGATCGAGGACCTGTAATCTAGACCTCGCGTAAATAACACTTTTCGCATCATAATACCTTTATATTACTTATTCTAAATTTATATTTAGCTGCAATAAACCGGTAATATTTAAATTCCAGTATACAACAATTTTAGTTAGCAAATTTCACTAGTAAATTCAATACTTTCTCTTAGAACACGTTATATTAATAGTTTCATTGGCGTCTGCCTGTATATCATTGTTCGTCGTTCCTTTTGCCATCGTTGGCAGTTCGTCCTACAGCAGGTTCAACCGTCACGCATGAAGAACGCAGCTCCTTCGCGTCATTGTGTGGCCGGGCTCCCAGCTGGTCTGTCTTTGTGACATCACATAGGATAATGTGTTCTAGGGTTTTATAATGTCCTCAAAGGCAGACCAGAAACCTAGCCTTTCGTGATTTGAAAAGCAACGGTCTATCAGAGGCCGGAAAGAGTTGGAACCTGCGGGGAACATTGTTGGAGACCGACTTTAGAGGATGATGAATAGTCTTGTGTGAGTAGCAGCATTTTTTTTAAATACGGGTACTAATTGGGTCTGATTAACTGCGTCTTTCTCTTGGGCCAACCTACATTTCATATTTAGATCTATAAGTTAACTGTTGGTCTGAGTTCTTCTGGTATATTCAATTAGAGGATGTTCCGGAATATACAGTCAAACAGCACGTAATGCTGTGAACATCTTCAATGACAGTTGTCCAACAATCCAATGCCTACGAGATTGTGCAGAAGGTGGGCCGATGGATGTGCCCAAGCTGTGCCGAATCAAATTTCGGCACAATATGCTGAGTGACTTACCCCTTGGAAACACCGCATATTGAAATATCATTAGGCAACCAAATAGTAGAAAAATGCAAAATTGTAAGAGATCTAGGTGTAATCCTAGACTCCAAACTAACTTTTATAGAACAATATACTAGACATTATAATACTATCATTAGTAAAGCAAACAGAATGCTAGGCTTCATTGAAATATTACATACACGATAAAGCTATTATATGCCACATATGTAAGGCCAATTCTGGAATACTGCCACGTAGTATGGAATCCATACATTTCCATACAGGAAGAACGCATAGAATCTGTCCAAGAACAATTCCTTTTATATGCTTTACGTAAATTGAATTGGACTGCATTTCCATTGCCATCTTATGAAGCGCGCTGCATGCTCATCAATATACAAACACTTAAGGAGCGCCGCCAATTTGCAATGCTTTTCTTCATCAACGACATTATTTCAATGCGCATAGATTCGGCAGAAATTCTCGCACAATTAAACTTTTACACACCTTACCGATATCTTAGAACACGGAATTTATTTTCTGAAAAATCGTACACAACAAACTGTGCAAAAAATAGCCCAATCAATGGAATGATGCGCCTGTATAATTTGCATTGCGGAACTATTGACATCACTATGTCCAAGCAGCAAATAAAAACTAAGCTAAAACCGAATAGAATTAATGCATAGTATGTAAGTAAACATTGTAATAATCATTGTATGTAGTCTACACTGGCTTGACGAAATAAAATAAATAAATCTACAGTCTACCATGCGTCTCCATAAATTACCAAGTCGATATCGACTCTCCACGCAGGTTCACGATGACGTGCTGTTTCATCCAGCACGTAAGTTGGTATAGAAACATTAATTTGTAAATTCTAATAGGTAGGCATTTCATGCAATAATTACACTTTTAATTTTGCAATAAACAAATCACCAAAACAAAAAATGTACACCGTACTTATTCAACCAAGCCATTCGAGCGATCAGTGGGTACAAACAGACCTGCCCGTCATCGCAGCATCTTTATCTCTATTGTTCTGTAGGTAGCAGAAACTCAGGCAAAATACTAACCGTCAACCATGCGTTATCGTCCTCACAATCACCATTCTTGTTCTGTTGACCGTTACCCATTAGGTACTACTGTATGTGCGCATTTGTGCAGTATAAAAACCGAACCGGGTGCCTTCGGTTTGGCAGTCATCCTTACATCACTCTTTCCGTACGGACCCTATTCGACTGGACTGTACTTCGTGTCGTTCGTCTTCTGAGTGTTTTGTCTCGTGTGTCCTAAGTTATATAATTTAAGAAGATATGCAACCGATCGAGCATAGTGACTCATTTATGGCCCTCGGAGATCACCGCGTCATCCCTCGAGTGGATGTCGTTTACCTGACCTACAATGCCAAAAGGTGAGTGTTCTGTTTTTTTTTGGGTGTTGATCGAACTGGTTTAATTGTTTGTTGTTGGCAGATCACAACCGTCGATCTCGTTGGACAATGTTTGTACTATTAGTTTGTACGAGCTGAAGAAGGATCGACTGACGAAAAAGAACCTAAGGCTTTCGATGAGCGTCGATGCTTATAAACATTACACTTGGGTAAGGAGGATCGGTGAAAATAAAAATAGCTTCATCCAACTAAATTTCCCGTTTTCCCAAAACAGTACAACACGGTCCTCTCGAACCAGCTGAAAAAGGACGGCGGACCGATGCTGCTGCGGACCTTCCACTGGTACATTGAATCGTCGAACGTGGACGCCTTCATGGTGGACGATGAACTGTACGAAGCCGTTTCGCTGATTATCGAGGCGGATGTGGAGCACTGGTACTGCGCCCGGCCCGGGTGGAACATTTCCGGCAGCCGGGTTCGGCTGCGGAACAACAAATGGGAGCACGACTTTGCCGCGAAGGCTAAAGAGCGGATAGTGGACTGTTTGGTGCCGGCGAGCCCACCGGCCAACATGCGCAAACAGAACCGGCGGGTTCGCCCCAAAAGCATTTCACTGTGTACGATCAACGAAGAGTGACGGCGGAGGCGAAATGAAACGACTACACTGCTACTTCTTTCTGTTGTGATCCATGTTCTTCTCTCCGATGAAGAGTTTTATTTTTATATTCAACTTTCTGCTTGTCAAGACATTGTAACATTTCTCATGTCGATTTATTTATGTTGCACAAACAATTATAATTAATTATGTAATAGTTTTTCTACGTTTGTTTGTAGTTTCACTTTGTTCAAATATAAAGCTTTATTTTTTATAACAATAAAATATAGTTTTTTTTGTTCCTTCAATTTGACCTATTATACTTTTTAAGTGAGTTCACTTGGTGATACCTATGAAAAGAAAAATTAAATAATACTTACTCTTGAAGATAAAAGAAAACAACGCAATAGGCGATCAAATAAATAATTTTCCATTCACTGTTTTGCTTAGCGATTGCCTAAATTCCAATTAGAGTTAGAACAACACATTTTAAGAGTTAAAACAATGAGATTAGCGGCCTTCGCAAGTCTGGACGATGTCATGTCATGATGGTTGGATAGCAAGTTTCGCGACTGCCTAAACATTAAAACTACTAAACTGGCATTCTGAACTAAGGTTAAAATTCTGCTACATAAACATAACCTCGTGATTTATTTTTTTTGGATCCATCCGGTATCATCTACTTTGATAGAGTATATACTTAAATGATTCATCTCACACTGATAACAATTTAGGTATGGCTTATTCCTTTTTTCTCTCCACGTTTTATCCGATGAGGTATTTTTCTTTGGGTTCACACGGGCTCTTCCTGTGAGCCGCAGCTGATTGAGTGGAGGCGGAGGAGCTTCTTCTTCTTATTCTTAAACGTTATACTAACAACTGTTGTTTGTTTGTTTGTTTGTTTTTACTTTGTTTTATTCCTATACCTACTGGCCAGCCGTTGTGTTTGTTTATGCGACCGGTGAATCGGTGGACATTTCCTCGTCGACGGTGATGTAGAGGCCTTCCTCCTCGTAGGTAGAATCGTGCTTGGCCAGGATTCTCAACAATGGGCGGAGCTTCAACCACCACTGCTGCTTCGGGATGCGCTGCCTGGTTTGGAAGAGAGATAAATAATGCAAGGAGCCGGTTAATACGAGCCATAGATCGCAATTTGTACCCAAACAGGCAATATGAAATTCATGACAACATTTCTAGGAGCTCAAACAGTTCGGTGATAAGATAAATCTTGATGAACAGATAATTTTATTATTTTTAGCTGTAGATCGACGAGTGTTGTGATTGAAGTCGATATCGAGACGTATAAATGTTTGTTATGTGCGAAAAAAGTAAATGTAGGGTTTGATCGGTGCTCGATAGTTCCCGCGATTAATGTTTTGCGATGCTTCAGATGTGGAGAATTTGGGCACAAAAGCACGGATTGCAAAAATTGCGAACGATGCTCTAGATGCAGCAAACAACATAGCACCTCTAAGTGTACGTCAACTGTATTGAAATGCGTTAATTGTTTAAAAACTAATAAGGAGCGTAAATTAAATCTGGACGTCAACCACGCAGCATTTAGTTCTAATTGTTTTGTGTATAAAAAAAACTATATGATCAGAAAAAAAGCAGCTTACATTTCAATAAATAGCAACCAAGTTCCAGTAGTAATGTGAGTAAATTAGAGATTTTATATTTGAATATTGCGGGGTTATCTACAAACTACGTAACATTACGACAGATTGTAGAAGAAAATCGTCCACTTTTGGTTTTGTTAGCAGAAACACATATTGTAGAAATTGAATCTTTTGATCAGTATAGCATTCCGGGATATAAAGCTGCTGCTTGTTTGTCACATTCGAGGCACACTGGCGGTGTTGCTATTTATGTCAAAGAATCAGTTCAATTCAATCTTCGCCAAAACGAAGTTATTGATGGCAATTGGTTCTTAGGCATTACAGTTGAACGTGGCATGAAGATGGGTAATTATGGTGTTTTGTATCATTCTCCCAGTTCAAGTAATCAGCGTTTTATTGAAATTTTAGAGAACTGGTTCGAGACATTTTTAGATTCTAGTAAATTAAATATACTTGCGGGTGATTTTAACATTAATTGGCATGATACTAGCAATTCGAACCATCTGAAGCAATTAGCTGATTTCTTTAATTTAAAACAATTAGTAAGTGAATGTACGCGTATTTCCCGGCACAGTAGAACTTTGATTGACCATGTTTATTCTAATTTTGATTCTGTCAGTTCAGTTACTCAAGCTGATTTGAAAATAACCGATCATGAAACTTTAGTAATTAATGTCTTAGCGGGGGTTAACGATAACGATAATTTTGTAAAATTGAAGTGCTGGAGGAAATATTCGAAGCAAGCTGTTTCGAATCTTGTTGAGAGAAGCGTGGATTTTCCATTAGTTACCGGAACTTTAGATGAAGATGCAGCTGTTCTTACTAACGTTTTGAAAACTTGTACCAATAAATTAGTTGAACAAAAGTTTGTTTCTTTGAAAAACTCGAACAGCTGGTACAATTTGGATCTTTTGCGTAAGAGGGACAAATGGTACAAAAAGTTTTGTAGATCTAATAGTGATAATCATTGGAATAGGTACACGGTCGTGCGTAATAAATATTCACAATCGATTAAGAAAACTCGATGTGAATATATTCAGAGGAAAATTGATCAACATCAAAACAACAGCAAAGAGTTATGGAAAATTTTGAAATCTTTGATGAAGCCTAGTAATTGTAAATCGCGGACCATAACTTTTGATGGCATATTAGAACAGTCAGAACAAGTAATTGCTTCTAAGTTTAATGACTATTTCGTCGAGAGCGTTTCACTGAACAATCAATCTATTGAACTGATCAATGAACCGGACGAAATAAAACAGCCGATTAATAGTAATTGTAGATTTAATGGTTTTCACCCAATTACATTAGATGAACTTAAAAATATTTGCTTTTCATTAGGAAAAACGGCTGGAGTAGATAATGTTAATGCTAGAGTTATTCAAGATTGCTTTCATGTCATTCGACACACTCTGCGGGACTTTATTAATCAATCATTGCAATCTGGGCACGTGCCGCATATTTGGAAAGAATCTTTAGTTGTTCCTATACAAAAAGTTGCTGGGACGATTAAAGCCGAAGAGTTTCGTCCCATCAACATGTTGCACACATTAGAGAAAATTTTGGAACTTGTTGTAAAAGGCCAGCTGTTAGAATATTTAAATAGTAACTGTTTGTTGATACCGGAACAATCGGGATACCGGGAAGGCCATTCTTGTGAAACCGCGTTAAACTTAGTGTTAGCTAAATGGAAAGAAAATTTGGAGCATAAAGATACGATTGTTGCTGTGTTTTTGGATCTAAAACGCGCTTTTGAGACAATTTCTAGGTCCTTATTGTTGAGATCAATCAAGCGCTTTGGAATTACGAGTACTGCATACAAATGGTTTGAAAGCTATTTATCTGACGGAACACAAAGGTCTGTTTTTAATGATTTTGTATCTTGTCCCGTTAACAATGACCTTGGAGTGCCTCAGGGAAGTGTATTAGGGCCCTTTTATTTATTATGTATATTAATGACATGCGACGAGTTTTACGGTTTTGTGATATTAATCTTTTTGCTGACGATACTGTGTTCTTCATTGCAGCTAAAGATTTAGAAGAAACCGTTTCACGCTTGAATGAAGATTTGCGTTCTCTAAGTAGATGGTTGAAGTATAAACAATTGAAATTGAATATAAGTAAAACGAAATTCATGGTAATTTCGTGGAATCGTGTAGATGATGATGTCTCTGTTGTTATTGATGATGAGACACTTGATCGCGTTGAGGAAATTAAATATCTTGGCGTGATTATTGATGACAAACTCAAGTTCAATTCTCATATTGACAATGTCATCAAGAAAATTGCCAAGAAGTATGGAATCCTATGTCGCTTGAAAAACGATTTAACTATTGGTAGTAAAATACAGTAATACAAATCAATCATCTCCCCTCATCTAGACTTTTGCCCTTCCATTTTATTTTTGGCCAATGAAACACAAATATCGAGATTACAGCGTTTGCAGAATAAAGTAATGCGTTTGATTTTAAGATGTAATAGATTCACTTCCTCAACTTTTATGCTGGACGCTTTGCAATGGCTGTCAGTGAAGCAAAGAATTGTATATTTGAACAATATACAAAAAACTACATTGTTTGCCTCGATGGTGATGATGGATTTTTAGTTTTTTGATTTTGTAGTAGTAATAGTAAAAATAGCTTTGAGTAGTCTACGATGGTTTGAGCCTCGCGCGCGGAATACAGGTATAAATGACTAATACGTGGAAATTGTGGCAAAAGCCTTGAATTAGTAAAGGGTTGGCTGGAAGTCGTTTCCTTGGATATAGTCCTGGCACTGCGGAAGCTTAAACGTGTAAATCCCAGGTCACGTGTAAATGGAAGTATTGTCGAGGACTATACTTGGACATTTGATAACTAGTTACACCTTTGAATGTTTTTGGTTGATGCCTATAGCATATTTAACAGGACATTTATATCTGTAATTGTAACCAGCTCGATTTTGTTTGCAAACCTGGTTAAAATGTTTATATTTAATTATCTTAAAGATAACTCGTCCAGCTCAAACCTTTGTAGGGGTAAGAGGTGGGACCATCATCATCATCGACTGTGCTCCACCGGATTTTTTTCTTCCTTTATTTAGGAGATTTTTAGCCGTAGGCTAGTTCATCTCCGTCGTGCTCCACCGGAGCCTAACTTTTGTTTTATCTAAATAAATTATTAGAATTGCAAATTTATAAAAGTAAAAGTCATCGCGCTTGGTTTTTTCACAAACTGCAAAGTTTATCAAATTTTGTGAACACTGAACAACATCAATGGTGGTTTATTTATCAAGTTTTGAGGCAAGTAAGCGTTGTTTAGGTGGAACTCGTGTAGGGCAAGCGGAGTAACGAATTGCAGAAATAAATCGAAAATTTAGCGTTAATTCGCGGCCGAAAGTGACCGAAAACAGTGCCCGTTCCTGGCGGAAGAGTGCGAGACGGGAAATGCATTGCGAGTAGTTGAAATAAATAGTCGGAAATTGTCTACCAGAAGCGTCGTCTCAGTGAGGGGTCAAGGAATAAATATGGCAACCACGCGGGTGGTTCACCCGTGCAAGGAAATAAAAGGGTGATATTCAGTGAGAAAAACAGTTGGAGAAAAAACACTTAAAATTAGTAATTAAGAGAAGAGCAAAAATTAGTGAGTAAAAAAGTTAGGGACAATTGAAGAAAATCGAGAAGAATGAGAAAAGAAAAAGATGACACATGCGAGCAGTGATGGAAAAAATCAAGAAAATCCAAAATCAGGAACGGTCGAAAATCACTGCTGATCTTGAGATCAGCAAAATCACACAGCAGATTTTAAACTTAGCTGATTTTGCGGTCACAAAAACCAAACGGAAAATCAATAGATTGGAATTACAGTCGAAGTAAAATCCGACACCCACCGCCATTTTGGAATTCAAGATGGCGGACCAAAATCCAATATGGCCGCCCCGGACAGGGAATATTCATCTAAACCCATGCAATATGGGTATCTACGGAATGAGCTCGATGAGAGGAAAGAGGAAAATTGACATCCGCCGCCATTTTGGAATCCAATATAGCGGACCAAAATCCAATATGCGGCCCCCGGACTAGGAATATGCATTTAAACCCATGCAATATGAGTATCTACGGAATGAGCTCGATGAGGGGAAGTGGAAAATTGACATTGTAGGCCAAAATTAATAACCCCAAGACTACTTAGCATAGATCAACTACATTTTATCCACAACGAATTAATGTACATCCCTACCACTATCTACGAAATGTGTAAACTGTGTAAATTTCGAACGAACTGAAAAACTCTCCAAACTCAGAAAATAAAACATTCCATACTTCCGCTTTGCAAAGTTCAGACGCGTTTTATTTCGATACGTCTCAATTTTACGGGCTACAATTTTCTCAGAAGTGGGATTAGTATCCACGAGTGTTTCTGTTGAAATGTCGGACGACGAATTTCACGGATTCGATGAGGACGAGTTGGTGCAGCGAGATGAAAACCAAGGAGG